AATTTGGTCCGATGTACTAAAATTCAGTCCATTTGGACTTATATCGGCCATTTGGTGCACAATTAACCCGAAATCGGATGAAGATATATATGGGAGCTATATCCAAATCTGAACTGATTTCGATAAAATTTAAAACAGCTATTTCTGGGCTGTATCTTATATCTGGTACCAAATATCATTCTTGTGGAGTGCATATTACGAATGTGAGAGGCTTAAACACCAAATCGGATGAAAGATATATATGGGAGCTATAGCTATATCTGAACCGATTTGATATACTTGCTTCTAGGCCGAACTCGGTTGGGTGTGCCAAAATTCAGGTAATTTGGACTGATAGTGGACATTTGGTGCACATTTAACCCGAAATCGGATGAATATATATATGGGAGCTATATCCAAATCTGAACCGATTTCGATAAAATTTAAAACAGCTATTTCTGTGCTCCATCTAATACCTGGTACCAAATATCACGGTTGTGGAGTGCATAGTAGGAATGTGAGGGACTTAAAGATCAAATCGGATGAAAGATATATATGGGAGCTATAGCTGTTTCTGAACCGATTTTCTCCAAATTTGTTGTATTTGCTTTAAGGCTAATCTCGGTCACATGTGCCAAAATTCGGGCCATTTGGGCTGATATTGGCCATTTGGTGGTCAATTAACCCGAAATCGGATGAAGATATATATGGGAGCTATATCCAAATCTGAACCGATTTCGATGAAATTTAAAACAGCTATTTCTGTGCTCCATCTAATACCTGGTACCAAATATCACGGTTGTGGAGTGCATAGTAGGAATGTGAGGGACTTAAAGATCAAATCGGATGAAAGATATATATGGGAGCTATTGCTATATCTGAACCGATTTTCTCCAAATTCGATATACTTGCTTCTAGGCCGAACTCGGTTGGGTGTGCCAAAATTCAGGTAATTTGGACTGATAGTGGATATTTGGTGCACATTTAATCCGAAATCGGATGAAGATATATATGGGAGCTATATCTAAATTTGATCCGATTTTCACCAATTTCAATAGGGATCGTCCTTGGGCCAAAAAAATATTGTTTGGAAAATTTCATCTCAATCGGATAATAAATGCGACCTGCATTTTGTTCACAAGAATACATGAACAGACGGACGGACGGACGGACGGACGGACGGACGGACAGACGGACAGACGGACTGACATGCATAAATCGACTCAGAAAGTGATTCTATGAAGGTTCTCAAAAGTAACTATGGGTCTATCTCGTTTCCTTCTCCATGTTACAAACAAATGCACAAAGACATAATACCCTTACCACTATGTGGTGTAGGGTATAAATATGCCAAAAATATGACAACATTGAAAAAATATGAGAAAATTTTACAAAATCAATATTTTCATCTTTAGAGAGATATTTTTATGCAATTTTTTTAGACGTGTTTTCTTTCCTGCCAAGAGGCCATTCTGAATTAATGAGAACTGTCGAAATCAGTTCAGCCGTTCTCGACATATATGAGATCTTTCAAGCATATCTCCTTTGATAGACCTATATATCGCACATATTTTGCTATATATCCGATTTGTTGGATAATAACATCAATGTAAAGGTCAGAAGTAACCTTGTGATGGCTTTATGATTTCGCCGGAATTTAAAATATTCGCGGTTTAATGAAAAATTTTGAATTTTTTTCAACACAAAAGATATGGTATATTTTACCCGCTAAATATTACCCGATGACCACCCAAATTAGTAGGCTTCTTCCCCACCCTAAAATCTATCTACATGCGGAATTTCGCGTCGATTGGTCTATAATTGCGACCTGTATAGCTGCTGCAAAATCCGACATTTTTTCAGTATTTGGTCCATTTCAACCCCTAAACATTTGGCGATCATCTCCAAAAGCAATAGGGTTCTATTCTGGTCCAAGCCCCACCTACATTCTAAATTTCGTGAAGATCGGGCCATAATTGCGACCTGTAGAGTGATTACAAATTAACATGGACAGACGGACAGACGGACAGACGGACAGACGGACGGACGGACGGACGGACATACATAGCTAGATCGACTCAGCTCGGCGAGCTAGGAAGATTCATATATACTTTCCTATGTGGGAAACCAATGTTTCGAGGTGTTACATAATTTTTGGCCCAATCAAACTTATAATACCCCCAACACATAGTGTTGTAGGGTATAATTAATTTAAAGATTTTTGCCAAAATACCTTGAAATTGATAGTGCCATAGTGCCAAAATTTTCTCAATGTGGGCTGATTGGCAAAGAAATTCCTGAGCTGTGTGAAAGTGAGGGATTTTAACATCAAAACGGATGAAACATATATATGGGAGCTATAGCTATATCTGAACCGATTTTCACCATATTTGATGTTTTTGCTTCTAGGCTGAATTCACTTCATTTGGGCAGATATTAGCCATTTATTGCACAATAAACCTGAAATCGGATAAAGGTATATATCGGAGTTTCGGGCTGTATCTGTTATCCGGCACCAAACATCATTCTTGTGGAGTGGATATTCATAAAATAAAGCACATCATTGGTCTTTCAAAGAATTTATAAGAGACAACAATATCAAATACTTGTTCTCGCCAGTCTGTAATTAATTTTTATACCTCACCCTATGGAAAAGAATTTGTCTAAATTTGATCAGCATAAAAATCAATGTCGATTTAGGTATTTTCGTCTCAGTTTGTTGAAATCACGATACATCTTACACAACTTTCAAATTTGGCATAATAGCTTGTGTCTAGAATAGTTGTTATATTATATCGGTACACGTTTACGTATAGCCCGCATATAGCAGCACCTCCCGATATAGGCAAATTTTATACTTCTAGCCCCTTTTTTCATGAAACGAGAATTTGGGTCTATAACGGATTCCACCTCTGGTGGAAGAATATGGTATGTATAGTTATAAGGGTACCTCCCGATATTCGGTGATTTGTCTAAAGTTTGGTATTTGTACTTCTTAATGGTATCTGACTACGGTGGCGGAACATTGTATACATAGACCCCTCCATATATCGGCCCCTCCCGATAATCGGTATTTTGATAATCCACGTTTTCCATCGCGCCCATATATCGGCCCCTCCCGATATTCGGTATTTTGATAATTTTAGCCATATTTTACGTGATTTTTTATTTGGTTTCTGCAGTTTGTAATGGGTTTTAACTCCTGTGACATATCATTGTCTATATAAGCCCACGATTTCACGATTGGGACTCCCATATGACGGTACCTCCAGATATTAAATATTTTTATACCCTCCACCATTCTACGGAGGGTATATTAGCTTTGTCATTCCGTTTGTAACTTCTCGAAATACTCATCTCAGACCCAACAAAGTACAAATATTCTTGATCAGCGTAAAATTCTAAGTCAATTTAGCGATGTCCGCCTGTCTGTTGTAATCACGGTATCTTTCGAACGAATTGAGATAGAAGGCTAAAATTTAGCACACATGTTTATTTTGACAGTAGACAGGTTAAGTTCGTAAATGGGTCATGTAGGTCCACGTTTTCATATAGCCCCCATATAACGGTACCTTCCGATATTCGGTATTTTGATGATTTTAGCGACATTATTCACCGGAATTGTTTCAAATTTGGCATTTGAAGTTCGTAATGGATACTACAGCTTATGACAAATTGTCTTTGCAGGTCCACGTCTTCGTATAGCCCCCCTATAACGGTACCTCCCTATATTCGGTATTTTGATGATTTTAGTGTCATTATTGACCGGAGTAGTTTCAAATTACGTATTTAGAGTTCGTAATTGGAACTACAGTCTGTGACAGAAAAGTGTCTATACAGGTCCAGGTCTTCGTATAGGCCCCATGTATCAGTACCTCCCTATATTCGGTATTTTGACGATTTTAGGTACAATACTCACCGACATTGTTTGAGATCTCATATTTGATGTTCGTAATGGATGCTACAGCCTGTGACAGAAAATTGTCTATGCAGGTCCAGGTCTTCGTATAGCTCCGATATAACGGTACCTCCCTGTATACGGTATTTATAATATGGAAATGGCTTATAACAAACAATGCCTATGTAGGTCCACGTCGGTTAGACGCCAATATAACGGTTATATTCGGTATTTTTAAGATTTTAACAGCATTTTTAACGGATTTTTTTTTTAAGTTTCCAAATTCGTTCCCAATTGTGGAGGGTATTCACAGTTCGACCCAGCCGAACAAACTGCTGCTTTGACCATTTATTTTTGTAAACAATGTACAGGTAGCTCTATTGACCGATCGAGATGAGATTTTGTGCAAATCATTTGTTTGGCCCAAGGACGAATCCTACTGAAATTGGAGATAATCGGTCAAAATGTAGATGTACCTCCCAAAATGTGTAATATTAGTTCAAATGGGACGAAATATGCCATTTGGCAATTTGTAACTATAGTTGCCAAATTTTACCGGGATCGGTTCAGATTTGAATATAGCTCCCATGTATATCTGCATGCGATTTCACGTTTATTGGGCCTAAAAAGTGTAATATCAGCTCAAATAGGATGGATTTTGATAAATGTCGGTTCAAGCACAAATGTCTCCACAAATTTAATAAAAATCGATTTAGGATATTACTCTTATATATCAGTTCCTTTCGACTTTAAATTAAATTAAATCAGTATAACTGCTTTAAATCCATAATTCAGAAACAATCATGGTTGGTATGATTTATTTATTATAAATACTCCATAAAAACAATTATTATTCATGTCTAACTCCCCTGAATATACAACGTGGTGTAGGGTATCAAAAAGTTGGACCTGCCCGACTTTAAGCCTTTCTTAACTGGTTGTTGTTTGCAGCTTTGAATCCAGATAGCTTTATTTAAAAGTGTTTTTTAGGTAATGGTGCAAGGAATGAAAGATCGGTCTGGACGAACTTAATATTTTTTACTTGTTATTGTTTTAAAATATGCCTCAGTCCCATTCATTACACATTTTCAGAATCTTACAATTTTCGTTTTATTATTTTCAGGTACACCTGTTTCTTGGATGATGATATCGCCATCCGTTACACCAAGGAAAATGAGTGTGGGTTCCAATAATCCTGCTATGCGATTATATAAATTCGATACGGACTCTGGTCAGGTAAGGATATAGTCGTAGCAAAAATTACAACGCCTTTTGTGTTATAATCTGTTCCAAAATCAGTATGAATTATTTAATTTGAAACGAATTTATTAGTATTGTAAAAAAATCACCCTAACATCATTACTAACTGAATTAAAAAGTTCATCAAAATTGCAGTTTTTTCATTTCACCTTAGTTTACCTCAATTTGCCCTTTTTATTGTGCAAAAATCTTGTTTTTAATTTCCGCTGCTGACTCTGTGTGGTTTTCCTCACAAGAAATAACAAAAAAAAAAAATATTCTTCAAATGTTCTATGCCAAAAAGAGATTTATACGAAATCTTTCATTGTTTGAGGTTATAGCTTTAAACCATACAATGAACGCTGATTGGCAACAAAATTCACTTTTGGACATTCATGATAATTGGAAATGTGTCTGAAAAGGATTTTTATTAAAAAGTTGAAATCATCATTATTATTGCTATCAGTAAACGTTTGTGTGTATGCTAATTCAATATAATTTTGAAAAGGGTATGTGTTTAAAAAAAAAATAGCGAGCTATGTACTGGTTTTTAAGTTAATTAGTCGGTACGAAGATTAGACACATTTTTATAATAATATTTATACTAACGAATGATACGAATCATCACACCCTTTTGTGTAAATCCTCTTAATACTCATGACCCATCAATTGAAAGTTCGTAATAGGTACTACAGCCTTTGGCAAAAAAAATCGTATGCAGGTCCACGTCTTCGTATAGCCACCATATAACGATACCTCCTGATATTCGGTACTGGTGTGATTTTTGTGACGTAATTCAACGTCTATGCTTGTCCCCACATGTAACGGTACCACCTTTTTTCGATATTTTGATGGTATTAGCGACATTATTAAACGGAATTGTTTTAAACTTCGTATCTGAAGGAGAAGGAAGTGAGATAAACCCATAGTTACTTTTGAGGATCTTTATAAAATCACTTTCTGAGTCCGTCCGTTCGTCCCTCCCATATATAACTTCAAAAGATTTCGGGTTAATTATGTACCATGTGCCCAATATCCGTCCAAATGAACTGAATTTTGACACATATGACCGAATTAAGTCTGGTGACAAGTACATCAAATTTGGTTCAGATATAGCTATAGCTCCCATATACATGTTTAATCCGACTTGTGGCTTTAAATCCCTCACATGCGTAATATGCACTCCACAACAATGGTTTTAAGTACCTGATATCAGATATAGGACAGAATGAAGTTCACAAAAATTTTTTCGAAATCTGTTGGTATCAGATCTCAAATATAACCCAAAAATAATTCTGTCAATTTTTTTCGAGTTCGATTCAGATTGTTTGTTCCCCATATATGTAATATCAACCTAAATAGTATAGTTTTCTTTTTATATTTTAAAGAATTTTTTCTTTTGGTGAAACTGTTATTTGGTACTAGAGGTACCGAATCCGTCAAAGAGTTGGATATAATTTCCAAATTGTGACTACTCTATAGCCATGATTCGCATTCAAATGAGGTTCACATTTGGTATAACCTACTTCACATGGTGTAGGTGTCATAGGAGGATATTAAAAGTTGGGCTCCACCGAACTTAGGTTCTTTTGTAATTGTTAATAATAATATTTCTCATAACTTGCGAAAGAGATCTGCGAAAGAGATCGGCCTTTCCTTTTGGCTCATGCCCTACAAAAGTTTAAGATTTTGATTTGCATAAATTTGAATATTAAGGTTATTAGACGAAGTGAAATACCTTGGTCCGTTGTCAGGTCAGATACGGAGGGTTTAAACCTGTCGTCAAAATCGACTGATACTTTCTAACTTGATCATACCAATTTCGGGAAATTTTGGAAATTTAAGTTTTTAGTAAGGGGAAACCATCCTTGAAGAAATATAAAAATATGGCCCGCATTTTGGCATGACCTTTATATGAAAATATCTCCTGATGTCAGCTATATCCTGGGTCTCGGTCACATTTTTCAATTGATTTGGCTCCTATCTAAGGGATAGGGTCTACCTATTTCGAGGGTCTTGACCATATTTCCCAGTCGATCCGGCTAAAAAATTGCATTTAGGTCACTTTCAGAATCGAAAAATTTATACTTATGTATATATTTTGGTATAGCCCGCATACAACGGTAACTCCCTGGAAAATTCCAAATGCAGGAGATGCAATAGCAAAAATCAAATTGAGTTTTTAATTCTTACTGGTAACGCAGAGTGCTATAATTTCTCTACTTCTTTTTCAATTTTCTATTTTACCTATTGAATCCGATGCCTTTTTATCACACAAAAATTGTATTAACTAAACCAATTGTAATTAAAACTGAAAATGGTAATAGTTTCTTTGTTAACCTAGGAATTGTAACATTATTTACTGTGCCCCATTCTTTTGTTGCTGTAGGGTAATCGAAAACCTGTGTGACCTTAGTTAACTTAGCTTTTTTCCGTCTTTACTCCACATGCCAACACTCTCTCTGCCTCTCACCACGTTTTCGACTCGAGACATTTAGTCACATGAGACTATGGTTTTCCACATACAAGTGCTGATGTTTTGAACAATTTTCATTTGATTTATCGATTCTTTTGTTCGAATCGTGTTCGTTTTGTTCTTCTCCAATGCATTCATTTACACTTTCAAACACAATTGCATTCCGTACGGGAATTTAAGCAACAGAAAAAGGAAAAAAACGACTCATAAAACTATTGGCTGTGACTTTAGAAACTGTGTGTGCGTGTGTGTTTGGTCTCCCAGCTAGTGGGAAATCTTCATTTAACAATATTCGTTATTGGTGTTGGTGCTCTGCAGTTTCATTGTGAGTTTCGGCAGCATATCTATCGATAAATGAAGACTAGGCCATTGACTCATGGGTACACCATAAAACGTAATGATTTCCAGGACTATGTGCCTAGTACACATCCTCAGACCAACTGAACTATATCCAACTCTGACTAAATTTTCAACAAATTTGACGGTGGCTTTAGTACCTCTAGTACCAAAATTCATTGCTGTATAGTGCATGATATGACTTCGATAAGGATTATATTAAACAAGTAAGCAAAGGCTACAGTCGAGCGGAGCCGACCGTTGAATACCCTACAACACTATAATAAACGATACATTTTATATAGGCGAGATACTCGAAAGAATTCCACAAGATATTGTGACAAATAATAAAAGAAAACCATCAGGTTTCGTTCTCTAATTTTCGAATAATAGCAACTTAAACTAATTTGCTCATTTCCACTTTATTGGTAGATGTTGCACTTAAATGGTCTTCCTAGATCTGGAACCAATATTTCCCAAAGACCTATAATTTCTTAGAAGTGTATTTGCGAATTCTCGAAAAAGTCTCTGGAATGGACATTTTCGTATTTTGTCTACCAAAGTTGGCAAACTATTTCACACATTGAATATTTTTGGATGGCCATCCAAAACTGCTTGGTTTTTGCAATGTCCGGTAACCCCCTTTTAAATGTGCGTGAGGATCGGGCGATAATTACGGCCTGCCGACAATTTTGCAGTTTTTTGGTCCATTTCAACCCCTAAATATATTGCGATCATCTCCAAAAAGAGTAGGCTTCTACTCTGACCCTCATCTTATCCCCATGCAAAATTTCGTAAGGATCGGGCCATAAATGCGATCTGTATATGATATCCTGATATCCTAAATACTTAGTTTTGTTAGCTGTAGAAATATTACCAAATGTTTAATTCAAAATGAAAATATGCCAAAAATATGACAAAATTGAAAAAATATGAGAAAATTTTACAAAATCAATATTTTCATCTTTAGAGAGATATTTTTATGCGATTTTTTTAGACGTTTTTTCTTTCCTGCCAAGAGGCCATTCTGAATTAATGAGAACTGTCGAAATCCGTTCAGCCGTTCTCGACATATAAGAGATCTTTCAAGCATATCTTCTTCGATAAACATATATATCGCACATATTTTGCTTTATATCCGATTTGTTGGATTTTAACATCAATGTAAAGGTCAGAAGTAACCTTCTCATGGCTTTGTGATTTCGCCGGGATTTAAAATATTCGCGGTTTAATGAAAAATTTTGAATTTTTTCAACACAAAATATATGGTCTATTTTACCCGCTAAATATTATCCGATGACCACCCAAATTGGTAGGCTTCTTCCTCGTCCTAAAATCTAGCTACATGCTAAATTCCACGTCGATTGGTCTATAATTGCGACCTCTATTGCTACTGCAAAATCCGACATTTTTTCAGTATTTGGTCCATTTCAACCCCTAAACATTTGGCGATCATCTCAAAAAAGAATAGGGTTCTATTCTGGCCCGACCCCGACCTCCATTCCAAATTTCGTGAAGATCGGGCCATAATTGCGACCTGTAGAGTGATTACAAATTAACATGGACAGACGGACAGACGGACAGACGGACAGACGGACGGACGGACATACATAGCTAGATCGACTCAGCTCGGCGAGCTAGGATGATCCATATATACTTTCCTATGTGGGAAACCAATATTTCGTGGTGTTACATAATTTTTGGCCCAATCAAACTTATAATACCCCCAACACATAGTGTTGTAGGGTATAAAAATATTTACAGGACCGAGTTTCACCAAATGGAAAAATTCTGTGGAATATGAAAAAAATCTATCCAAATTGGGCTAATATAACATATATGGTGGCCACTAACCGTAAAATCGTATGAAGATATATTTCGAATGTACATAAAAATCTGAACCGATCTTGATAAAATTTGGCAGCGTTTTTTTTCGAGCTCTATCTGATGTCCGGTATAAAATATCATTTTTGCGGAGTGCACAATACGGATTTAAGGACTTTCACACCAAATCGGATTAATCTTAACCGATTTTCACCATAATTTGATGTACTTATAATATATATATATATATATATATATATATATATATTATATATATATATATATATATATATATATATATATATATATATATATATATATATATATATATATATATATATATATATATATATATATATAT